TGTGCACCCCCCAGCCCTTGAAGCCTGTGTGATAAACGTGACGTCCTCTTGCAGCCTCCAGGAGCTGGGCTGGAAGGGCCCGTGAGAGCTTGCCTTGTCCTGCCCCTCAGGCCCCAGCGACCTCGTCCCGCCATGTGCTGCCTCCCTGGGGCTTAAAAACCTCCTAGGGTGGGGGTGCTGCCACGGCTCCGGGTTATGCACTTGGCTGGTAATGGATTTGCGGTGGTCAGCACTAGGGTTGGGCCAGGCACCTGGGGCTTTGGCCCTGAATCCAGTCCCCCTCGGGGGTCATCATGAATAGCCTGCCCCAATGCAGTGCTGCCTTCCTCGCGAGAGAGTTTTTCTTGATATCTAACCTAAGCTTCCCTTGCTGCAACTTGGGACCGTTGCTCCTTGTTGTGTCATCTGCCACCACTGAGAACAGTCCAGCCCCATCCTCTTTCGAACCCCACTGCAGGTAGTTAAAGGTTGCTACGAAATCCCCTCTCAATCTTCTCTTCTGCAGATAAACCCAATTCTCTCATTCTCTCCCCATAAATCAGGTCCCCAGCCCCCTCGCCATTTTGGTTCCCTTCCATTGGACTCTCTCCAATTTGTCCACACCCTTCCTGTAGTGGGTGGCCCAAAACTGGATACAGTACTCCAGATGTGGCCTCACCAGTGCCAAGTAGAGGGGAATAATCACTTCCCTTGACCTACTGGTGATACACCTACCAATGCAGCCCAGTATGCCATCAGACTTTTCGGCAACAAGGGCATGCTGCTGGCTCATATTGAGCTTATTGTCTACTGTAACCCCCAGGTCCTTTTCTAAAGAGCTGCTGCTTAGCCACTCAGCCCCCAGCCTGAGTGGGAGCATGGGAAGTGCAGGACTTTGCACCATTAAACATTTTCTTGGCCAATACCAGTAACCAATTATTCACCAGGCATATTAGCCAATACTGATCCGATAACCAATTTACAGGAATGCAGCTTTGCAGCATGGAAAGCAGTGCCCTGTAGGTAAGTCTGTGGAAGGGAAGGAGTATGGGGGAAGGGGGCAGATCAAGGCCCCCACAGTGAGGAAGGGAGTGGGACAAGGGCACGGGCTGCAGCTGGGGGCGCACAGCAGCAGGGAGCCAGTGCCTCATCCCTGTCCACACCCCTCCTGCACCCCTGGATGAGTTGCTCGTGGCTCTGTCCTGCTCCTTGTCCTGGCCCCAGGGTCCCATTCACCACCCTGGCTGGGCAGCGCCCCCAGCCCCTGCCTCACTCCCTCCCTCACCATGGCCGGGTGATGCCTCTGCCCCACTCCTTCCCTCACCATTCCCTTCCCTCAATTTGCTCCCCCCAACATCGCTTCCCTCTCCATGCCCCTTCCCATCCACAGACTTACCTGCAGGGTGCTGCTCTCCATGCTGTCCAGCTGCATTCCTGGCCTCATGCATGTGTGGTGTCTGGGGTCTCTAGCCAGAAGGCATATTACAAAAAAAAGCTGCTAGCCAATAACATTGATTTTCGGTGCTGACCTGATATGGCACCTTTACTTTGCACATGTCTTTATTGAACTTCATGAAATCCTCACCTTTTGTGTAATTTCTGAACTGTATGTAAGAACTGCCATTTACTGGGCCAGTCCCTAGGTCCATCTTGCTCAGTATCACTCTGCAGCCAGCTCATGCTCCACTATCTGTGGCCATGGCAAAGGGGGCAAGGGTCTGGAGAAAGGAGGTGCCAAGCACCACCCAAAGTTCCCCCTGACAATATCTAGGGTGTCACCAAGCCATCATGTCACCACTTGGCTCGCATCTCTGGCCTCATCTCTGAGGAGATTCACCAGGTGCTGAAGGTCTTCCTGAAGAATATGATCCATGATGTCATCACCTACACCAAGCATGCCAAGGACTATGACCACCATCCATGGATGTGGTTTAGACTCTGAAGCATCAGGGTCACACCTTGTATGGGTTTGGTGGCTAAACTCTCTGTTCCAAAACCTCCTGTGTCACGCAGTGGCAGAAAGTGGATGCTGAAAGAGAGTGAACTGGGTGCGACTAGGGGGTTTTTCATTGTTCCTCTCCCACTTGCAGCTTCCAGCATTTAAGGTCAACATTTAACCATCACAGCTATATCAGTCTGACACTACTATAGACAAGGGTTAAATTTCAAAAACTTTAATTAGACAGAAAAATAGTTTTCTACCCATTTCTAAAGGCATTAGGCTGGGCTTGAAGCTGTCCGGAAATTTGTCACCTAGTCGGAAGCTGACGATGGCAATGCCTGAATTTGTTGCATCAGTTCTGAGCATGTGGTAATTGACTGATCTTCAGTGTGGCATCTTTATGTCTGGGTACAGTAAAAGGTGATGGTGGTAGTCTCCCCTCGAGCTGGTAAGAGATCGTTATCTGGGAGGCAGTATTTTACGTCTCTTTTATCAATCCAGTTGAGAGAGGCTAAGAAATTGCCAATTAGTTCTTTTCGTGAGATTTTTAAGGAAATCTTAATAATTTCTTCAGTTTGTTATGGGGAATTTGCTTCTCCTTGGAGGTCCACAGGAGCCTGATGTTGGTGAGCTTCAGGGGAATATCACTGGATTAGTTTACTTAGTTGAACTTGCTCATGGCTGCTTTCGAGTGTTTTTTGGCTGTTACTTGTTTTGGCTTTGGATAATCTGGAATTTGTCAGTTTTAACTCTGATTTATTAAAATAGTGGTCAGGGTTGGGCAGTGTGACTGATCTCATTACAGAGGATTTTTTGTTTTAACTTTTGAGATGCAGAAAATGAATTTGCCATCTCTGACCAGTAAAAGGCTTATCTAAATTAATAAACCCCAAACCCACCCCTTCTTTTTATTTGATAGGGGACAGTGGTGCTCTCTGGTCAGGCATATTAATAGCACCACCTGGTGGAAAGAACATCTTTCTGAAGAGAACGTCGAGTTCCTTAAGAAGATAACTTCAGAGGAATACAAAGCTCAAACAGCTAGTAAACTGTGTCCCCTGAAAGATGAGCCATGGCCACTGCATCCCTGGGTGCCAGGTGAGTACACAAGCAGGTGTAGCTCAGATCAGGGTTATCATAGCAGGGTTGCAATTCATAAATAATATCAGACTTATATGGTGTACAGTTTCTCCTTTTTACATTAGTCACTTTCTTTACACCTGCAAAAAGCAAAATATTTCTTTGTTCCAAGTTCCTCTATCATCTTTCAGTGTCAATACACTTTTCCTTCTTTTACAGCCACCTCCCCCTCCAAAGCTGGTTTGTAAGAGGTGTCACTTTCAGCACAACAACTAGTACTGTTGGCTGCTGTGGAACAAGGACTTTGAGTGGGAAGCTTTCTTGGCCTGTCAGGGACTAGAATAAATGCATAGAAAAGGTGGCGGACTAGGTAATAATGTTCTGGTGTTTAAAGTACATCCCACTGTGTAGTATTTTGAGAGGCAAGTAAGAGACTGATGCTGTAAGCAAGTAATATATAATTGGAGGTCATCTTTTTCACATCTTACAAGCATTTACCATATTTTCTTGCATAGTTCACACCCTGGAAAAACTTACACCCCTTGTTTTTGAAAGGCAGGATGAGGATAAAAAGATCCTTCTTTGTAGTAAGTAATTGAGTAGCAGCAGCTGAAAGCTGAGCCTACTTGTTCTGCTTCCTGTGGATTGTATAGCGGCAGAAACTACTGGAATCATATTTTTTTGCTTATAATATGCATCCCAATTTACAGCAGCTGTTTTCAGGGGGAGGTCAAGTAAGAAAATACGGCATTTCTATATTCCCCCCCCCCCCCCCCCCCCAGGGTTCTGTTTTCCAGGCTATGGACCTAAATAGCTGAACCCTTAAAAGGATGCATTTAGCGTATAGTGGCTGAGAGGAAAGTTAAATATTTAAGAGGAAAATGTCTAATAAAATCTTTTCTGTTATTTGCAACATTTAATTTTGCTTTAGCTTATCTAACCTGCCAAAAACTGAAGAAATATTTTAATCACATTTTTCAGTAAGTGCTATTCAAACAAGAAATGTTCTCTCTCTTAAGTTGACACTGGCCCCATGTGTTGCTTTACATAAACACGCAATTAGTAAAAAAATAAATAAATAAATACAGAAATCAGATTGCTAGTATCTCAGCTATTCCCAGCCTGCCTGCAGAATCAAAAACAATCTATCTTCTTTCCTCAATCTCTCTCTGAGGAAAAATATGAGTAAATAGCTTGGACTTGCAGCATGCCTTGAAAGTCAGCAGATTAGGTCTTTTGATGATTAAGTATTGAATTACAGATTCATTCTGTTTTGATCAAAAGGTTCCAAGAGGGTTGGTCTTATTGGATTAAAGCTGGGAATGATGCCCTTATGGACCAAGACCGGTGAAAGACATGTTGTCACGTTGCTTCAGGTAGGACAAACGTACTGGATTTTCAGCCCTAGTCCTAGATTTAGATTTTTAGTCAAAAGTTTTGAGCAAGAAAAAACCTGCAGTTGAAGGTTGGGTGTGTAATACCCAAACTTTCAATTTTAGATTGCAAGCTCATCGGGGACTGGATTGCCTTCATTCTGGGTTAGATACTCGCACTGAAATGCTGTAGGTGAACTTGCATAAAGGGCTACACCCTCCCCTTTTTTCTCTCCTCTGTCCCAGAGGCATCTGGGAGTCTGTTTTGACTTTGGTAAGAAGTACAACTAATCCATGTAATTTAACTTGCTCTGGTGGCAGTAACTCTAGTGAGGCTGTACTACTGACTTATTACTGTTAGCATGCGGCAAATTGGTTGTGATAGCACCTTTAATAAATAGCACCCTAAGGTAGGGAGTCTGTTGAATGGGTGAGATACAGAACCAGATTTGTCACCTTTGTATACTCGGGGAATCCCCAACTGGTAGTTAAAGCTACATGTCCCTTCATTTTTCATATTCCTGAAGCAGCTCACAGGAATGTTATATATCCTACAGATAATGCTGTGGTGATTAGTATAACCATGAAACTAGAAAACAGGGCTTATAAAAATGGACATGGCATGTCAGGAAAATTTTATTTTAGTACTGTCTTAACAGAAGTTAACCTTTGCATTATCGACGCAGATGTTCTCTCATTTGTACTTTTTATTTTCTCTTAAGTGAACACAATTGCAGTTAAGTAGGAGCTTTGCCTTCACTTAAGGTGTTTAGTATTCTCTTGATAATTTTAATTTAAACTTGTGCGGCTGTCTGATTGTAGACCATATATTTACTGTAATTTGCTTTTTAAGGTACAAGACTGCCATGTTATAAAGTACCAACCAATGGAGGAAAATAATGGAAAAACTGCTCTTCTACTAGTTGGAGGGAAAAATGCATCCCCTTTTTATGTAAGTGTACATATCTTCTTGGTTTATCTTCTTCATTGGAGTAGTTATTTCTATAGGGAATACAAATGATAGATGCTTTTACACAGCACAGTACCATTAACAGATTGTTAGTCAAAGATGCATTTGTAGACACACTGTTGTTGATTCTCTAACCATTTTCTTGCCTTCATCCTTGCATGTTCTTTTTTTTCACTGGTGGGCAGGGGGATGAGGGGAGTCTGTCTTCCAGCTTTCCCTGAAATATGGGAAGTCAGGCCAACTGTCACTGAGGTCTTTTTTGCCTATTGGGACGAGCAGGAGTTTGTATTTTTGAAAGCTACACAGTACTCCTTTGTTAAAGGCTGGAACCACAGAAACTGGAGATTTTGTAATAGAAATAGATGGAGGTGGAGACACTTAGCCTCTTCCAGTTTGTGGGGCTGTGACTTGGGTTTTTGAATTGCAAGTTAACTTCTATAGGCTTCTAACTCTGATAATTGATTAGATTCATTACATACTTGCCTGTGCATATTGTTTCATTTTACTCTGGTTTTAATTTTGCCAGTTTTATCAGATTGTGCAATTAATTGTCTTGGTGAAAGAAGTTTTTTAGTGTAAAGATACATTTATGAACATAGCTCTCAGATGAAGGTGTCAAAAACCCTGAATTTGTTCGATAGCTCCAGATACTTGCTGTGGAATTCCCAGCCTGTTTTCAGAGGCTCTAACAGCCTGTAGTGCAGTCAATCCCAGTGAGAAAAAAAATTGAATTATAGATCAAGGTGGGAAATGCTCAGCCTTTTCCTCAAAGGATTATGTTTTCTTTGATTCGTTACTTTTCTAAGAACATAGTTTTGCACTTCTCTGCATTGGCTTTACAGTCATGTCAGTTTGACTCAAACAAGTACAAAAAGGGGCTCCCTGTCAGAGCTTACCATTCTGATTTGTTTGCTTTTTCCTGGAGGACTTGGACTCCTTTTTTTCTAGCAGAGACTCTTCTCAAATTTCCAAATAAAAGTCTCTCTAGTTCAGGTGGGTGGGAGGGGCAATCCTGTATTTTTACAGAATTTAGGTTTATTTAACAGTTATGTGTGCTAGGGGTACACTGATAAAGATTTTTTGGGCCAGTAACGATGGCCACTTATTAATGAGCCATTATGGCCAATATTGATTCAATTGCCAATATGCATCCGGCTGGTAAGTCTGTGCGGGGGGGGGTGGGGAGAGGTGAGTGGAGGAAGGGGTTGTGGGGAGGGCAGATTGAGGGCCCCACGGTGAGGGAGAAGGGAGGGTTGGAGCTGGGGCAGGCACTACCCAGCTTGTGTGGAGCGTGGGATGGAGCCGCAAGCAGCTAGTCCAGGGGGTGAGGGGGGTCCATTTCTGCCACTGCTTGCACCCCTAGGGGAGGCATGGGGTTGTGCCCCCTAGATCTTTGCATGGACTGGAGGTGAGCTGCCGGTGCCAGGGGCAGCGCTAGGCTCTTCCTGGCAGAGGGGTTGGGCCCGAGGTGTTTTCAGGGCAGGTGGCAGTGGCATTGTTGGGAGGCGAGATAACAGGGGGCTCCCCCCGTAGGCCCTACTTCCAGCACCACCAGTGCCTGGCCTGAGCACTGTCCCTGCCCTGCCCCCTCCTGCCAGGAAGAGCCCAATGCTGCCTGCGGCCCCAGCCCACAGTGGCAGCCTGCCTCTGTCTTGTGCACGGATCCAGGGGGCACACACTCCCCATGTCTCTCCTGGGGGTGCACGCAGCAGCGGGAACCGCCCCATGCCCCCCAGACTAGCTGCTTGCATCCCCACCCCTGTCCTGCCCCAGCTGTGTGGCACCTGTCCCTGCTCCAGCCCCACTCCCTCTCTTACTGTGGGAGCCTTGATCTGCACCCACACACACACCTTCCATCCCCCTGTCCCTTCTCCTTCCCCCCCCGCCACTCCCCGCAACAGACTTAGCAGCCAGACGCTGCTCTCCAAGCTGCTGGGCTGGCTGTGAGCATGCTGCAGCTGTGCACATGCACGTGGCATTTATCGGCGACATTATTGGCCACGTCAGCCAAAAAAAGCCGATTGCCAATAATGTCAATTTTCCTTTTATTAGCGCTGATACGATATGGACCGATGTATCGGTGCACCTCTAATGTGTGCCCATCTCACAAATATTCCCTTTGCAATCCATGTGCCTGTCTTGTCTTTGTGGAGCATTCCTATTCCCAGGGCTCTTTTTCATGTGGAGAAATATTATAACCATGCTCCCAGCATTATTAGGTGGATTAAATTATGTGACTCTAAATCATTATCAAATTGCAGCATTTCAAAGAATCACTGTTCCATGGGAATGTCAGCATATGATGGCGTGAGCAACAAAACACAGGGTGTGCATGGGGAAATACAGGATTTTTGTGACCTTGTGTCCAATTTGGACTACTCTCCTCTTGAGAGACAGTTTCTCTCAAAGCAAAATGATCACAAGTGTCTAGTCAAAGGTTTCTTTAATATTGCTATACTTCAATAAACAGTATTGCTCACTAGGCACTCTCTCCGCCCCCCCCCCCCAACAATTCTCACTAATTGGGTTATTTAAGAAAGAAAATTAGCTATATACAGTAGACCCCCGAGTTACGCGATTCCGACTTATGCACATCTTGCGTTTACACAATTTTTTTATTAGGATCCGGACTGGAAAATGCCCCTCGAGATGCGTGTCATTCGCATATATACATGAACGCTTGCAAGATATGTATATATGCGAACACCTCACAAAATTTACAGGCGGAATCAAGTGGAGCTATGCCGCCATTGTGGTAGCGCCATCTCGAGATGCATAGGTGAGACACTAGACGCGCCTCCTAAAGGCAATTCTGCCGAGAAAGGGGGAAAAAAACTATGACTAAGGTATGTCTGGGGTATGCAACCCCTCGCTATTCAAAAAGCCAAAGCAGACATTCAAAAAGCCCAAGGCAGAATCCATCTAAGTTGCACAGTTTTTTATAATGCAGCATAGTTAAGATCAGTAGTGAACAGAGCACACTTTCACCATTTAGTGGGGGGGACCAAATCTTAGACCGGATTCTGCCATTTTAAAACCAGTTTTGTGTGTGTGAATTTCTGTTCTGTTACGCATGTAGACTAGGGCTGTGCGAAACACCATCGTTTCGTTTTGCTGTTTGTTTCACCATTTTGAAGGGACAGTGTTTTATTTCGTTTCAAAGCACTGTCCTGTTTCATTTCGTCAAAACTGTTTCACTGTTTCTACGTGTTTCAGTGTTTTGCCCATAAGCTATAATGGGGAATCATGAAAATGCCTAAAATTTTGTCATTTCTTGCCTGATTTGGATGAAAACTACAGGGATGGTAGCCCCTTCTGAGGGCATGAAGCCTGCCAAGTTTCAAGGAGATAGGTGCAGAGGTTTCTCGGAAACTGCACCTCAAACTTCAAAAAGAAAAACTTGCCGGCAGTGGCAGCCTCCTGTCATCCAGCACAGATCCAGGGGCTCGCACCCCTGGGAGGGCTGCAGGGCTATGCCAGATTCTTCCCGGTGGTGTGGGCCCCTAGATCTGCGCCAGACGACAGGAAGCTGTTGCCAGGGACCGGTGCTGGGAGCAGCCTGCACTCAGCGCCGGGGAAGACTGATGCTGCTCCTGGCCCCAGGCATCAGCAGCTGCCTCCTGTCATCCAGCCCGGTGGCGGGAGGAAGGGGAGAGCCGGCGCTGCACTCTGAGCAGCTCCGCAGCCCTGTGGAACTCAGCCCGGCAGCAGGAGATGGAACGTAGCCCTGGTTCTGCCCGCTTCCCACCACTGGGCTGAACTCCATGGGGCTGGTGGAGCCGATTGGAGCACAATTCTGGCTCTCCCCGCCTCCTGCTGCTGGGCTGCGCTCCATAGGGCTGCGGAGCCAGTTGGAGCGCAGCCCAGTGGCGAGAGACAGGCAGAGCCAGGGCTGTGCTCTCCGTCCTGCTACTGGGCTGAGCTCCATGGGGCTGCAGAGTTGCTTGGAGCTCAGCCTTGGCTCTCCCTTGTCTCCTGCCACTGGGCTACTTCGAATCTTGAAAGGTTTGGAACTTTTGAAATGTTTCGAGTACCCTCATTTCATTTTGCAGTTGTGTTGAAGCTTTTTGTTTAGTTTCAATTTCGCTGTTTCGAGCTCGAAACACATCGAAACAGCTTTGAAGTGAAACACTAAATTTCGCATAGCCATAATATAGACCGGATTTGTGTGCTAAACTTCTGTTATGGGTATAGAGTGGTTTCCGATCACTTATACCAGTAAAAGTGTAATGTCTATACCTGGCCTTAATGTCCAAGTTTGAATTTGGAATGAATTTTAACTGTATAATTTTAAGGAATAATTTGTCAGAGTCTTATTGCTGTATAGTTTTTAGCTTAAGCTCTCTGGAAAGGGATAGTTTTCCTAGCTTACATAAAAAGTGTGATGCTTTTGATTTCTAAAATTTATCACTTTCATGTTTTCTTATGTGAAAGATCCAAATAAACGTGTCTGAAGAATGTTGAACTGTGGAAAACCATCCTGCATTGTGTTATCATACTAATGTTACCTTTTATCTTCCATTAATTCCTCATGTAGAAATAATGATCTATGCTCTTTTCCATCACGTCACTTGAATAAAGTGGTTTCCTTTTCTTGAGTAAGACATTGGATTGCTATAGTCAGGTTTTTTGGCAGGGGAGGGATTTTCATATCCTTTAATTCCAGAATATATTTTTATGGTATGATAGATCATCTCAGAAATCTTTATTGAATGTACTAGTAACTGTTCAATTCCTTGTCAACTAAACAATGTCATTTTACTTCCTATTTAAAACGGAATTGTTTATATACATCTGATAAAGGAGAGGAATGTTTTAAGTTCTTCACATAGTATTCAATACGTTCACATATGTTGTAATTCATTTTGTCAGTAATACAAAGAACTTCTGTGACTTTTTGAAAACATGAGTAGAAAAAAGATTAGTTAAATAACCATGATAAATTTTAAATGCTGTAATACATTAGTGTTAGTTAAAAAAAATCAGCTTTTTGAAACAAAAGTGGACTATAGAACTGTGGGTTAATATTCCTCCTTTGGTTGGTAGAATGATATTTTTATAGAGGTGCATGTTCTGTTTGCCTTAATGAATTCAGGTCAATCATTTAGCCACTGTATTCCTTAAACATGTTTTATGAGGGTTTTGCTACTCTTGCAAAAGGTATTTCTATATAGTTAATAAAAAAAAAAGGAAGAGAAATATGCAAAAATTTTAAATGAAGCTCAATAGCTTTGAAAAGTGATAATTTCAGTACATTGGAAAATGTACAGAAGGGTTTTCATGGGCAAAGGATAATTGTAGAAACCTTTTATAAAAAGTGACCCCCCCCACCCCCTCAGGTGTTATTCCCAAGTGTGACCATGTTGTTGTGTTAAATTGCTTTTTAGGAGTGTTCAAGAAGTATCTCAGCTGCACCACTCTATCCAGCTTCAGTTTTCATGCATATTTAGCTGGTACTCACTCAGTGCTTCAGTATTTCTCAAAGAACAGCTGTAAACAACTTGAAATGTTTTAATCTTTTTGTCTGTGCTGGAATTGGTTTAAAATTACAGCTCTTTTTAATTACATCATTTTTTTTTTTTGCATTGAAATACATTTGGTGCATTTCAATTAAAAGTACGAAATTAAAAAAATATCTTCAAGTTTTTTCATGTTCAGGGTTTGTGTGTGCAGGCAGCTCCATGGGGGTCAGTCCTCATCCCTGTTTGAAACCCATTCACTTGTTCAAAATCCATAGAGTTGAGCCTTTGCAGGAGTCTCTGCATGATGAAGGCATTCGATTGTAAAATCTTTGGAGTAAGGGCATGGTCTGTGAAACTGTGCATGTTGTATTATTTTATAAATGGAATTTTATAAGTGGACAATTCATGCAAATGAAGCAGTATTTGAATAAAAAAAGACATGTTGCATTACAGTGAATTTAAATGCATTAAAATAAGAGGGAAAGCTTGCTTACATGAAAAAAGTAATGACAGACCCTCCTGTACTGGCTTTGGAGTCTTTTCAGATTCCCTAATGACAGTCGAAATGTGTGGTAAAATGAGGGAGAAGACCCTGCATTCAGAAAATTAACTTAATTTCCTATAAAACTAAAATGCTTATTTGGAAGTTAAAGACCAGAGTGTTTTGAGAGAGAGGAGGGAAGGGAAATTAAATAGTCAGGAGTGTAACATTTGTATGAAAATCTGATCCTTTATTTTTTTTCAAGATCACTTTTTAATGGGTGCTCTTTCTTCCAGAGATCAGAGTCTAGGCACAAGGTTTACGAAGAAGCTGGAGTACCACCAAAGCAGAAAATTTCAACTTTTAAAGTGTCAGCTAATGCTATAATTAAACCAGGTAATCTTTCTGAGCTAGACAATGTTACATGTATGATTGTTTAATATGCTCCCTTGATGCAAGGCTAAACCAAGATTATTCTTTTAGATATGAAAACTGTTGAATTAGATTTACTTTTTTCTAGTATGGTGCTGAGGTCAAACAAGGTGTTTGAAAAAAGAGAAGTTGGGGCTGCATAGGAGCCACGGACCTTTAGCTATCCTTTTTGTAGAAAATCATTCTGTCCCTTGAGAAAGATGCAAGCTTGCTAAAATGCAAATCAATTTAAGAAAGATTTCGCCCTGTAGTATAGGAAACAGATGTGAATATATTTTTCCTTTTGGCATTTGGAAATCTTATGAGGAAATGTTAGCATTGTGGCCATATTTCTTCAGTGATGGAGAAAGAGTACAATTTAGTAGGATTTAGTCTTCACTGCTTTCCCCTTCTTGACTGACCTCTTAAGATGCTGTTATTTCAGGCAGTGACAGAAATGATTCTTTAATACACTGCCTTGATTTCCATTGAGATTTGCTGTCTTAAGCAGAAGATTCATAAAAAATATTCTTGCATTTTTCAGGATAATTGTGTGTGGTTTTGGGTTGCTTTCATTATGTATTTCTCCATCACTAGTTTTGCTTCACGTACTTTTATTCATTAATTATTAAAAGAATATAAACTACAGCAACTCTAACTTTTAATGTCCAAAAGCTGCACAAAAGAAGGTCTCTGGGTGCATCCTAGACACTTTTGCAGCCATTCAGTATTAATATTCAGTATGGAATAGGAGTCTGGCCTAATAATTTAACATTGAAGTGAACAGAATTAGTCCTAAATGAGTAGTGTGCGTGTGTGTATGTATGTACAGATAAATTTCTCTTACATCTTCCCTTCCTTTGTCCCAGTTGCTTCCTTCTGCCTGATTGGCTTCTTTTGGACTCATCCCTTTCAGCTACTTTACACAATACATTAGGTAGTTCTTCGCTTAGGGAGTGATTGAAGTTCACAGCATGCTGTCACTCACAAGTCTCAAAACAGGATTTAGAGTGGAACTGACAGGGCAGAGTGATTAAAATAATTTTTCCTAATGATATAAAGCTGATTAAGGCTTTATAAAACAAATTCATTTTTGTTTGTTTGTTGGTGCAGCATTGTAGTAAAATAGATTGTCAATTTGGTAATTCAGTTTTCAATTCCACTTTTGATAGACTAACTTGTTTGAGGGGGGTTTTTTAAGCTGCTGTAAGGAAATAAAATATTGCAAGTTAAGACTTTGATCCTTCAGGTAGTCTATTCATGTGAGTCAAGTAACTTACTGGAAAAATTAATTGTGTACTAAGTGCCTGTAGCACTAACATTAAAAATTGTACTTTATTAACAAAACTTAGTGGCACACAATATATACTTTCTAGACAAAAATGCTGGGGTGTGATAACGGTGAAAATTTTCTGTGAATATCCAGACCAAATTTGGTATGAGTAGGATTTTCAAAAGTGTCCACATGTCTTGGATGGTAATGGTTTCTCATTTTTGTATTTTGGGTTTGCTATAGCCTTATAGAAAATAAACTTGTGACCCTCGATTAGCCTCTTTCATCATTTTAAGTGAGATAATTTGTAGTAGGAAAAAAGTTATTGTACTAATAAATGAAAAACAAATGTAAGAAACAAGTAGAAGGCATCCATTTCAGCAGTTTAAGACTGTAAATGGAGGGAAAAGAACATAGTAGTAATACATTTAAGTCAGACTTTTATTTTAATTTTTTTTTTTTTAATTCCATGCTGTACAATAATGTCTGCATAATTATGTATTGCTTTTGGGACTTAGGCAGATGTTTCATCTTCTCTTCAAGGTACTCCTTTGTATGCTGCTCACTTCCGACCAGGACAGTTTGTGGATGTCACTGCAAAAACGTACGTTCCTAATTTTTAATAATTTTATATATTTTTCTTTTTTCATTCTATGCTTTCTATCAGGTACATTCTATCATGTATGCTAGATCTTCTCTTTTTTTCAAACACAGTGTAAATTAGGCACTTAACAGACAAATCTGTTGTTAGGAAAATATATTTTTTCTGGAATGTCTACTTCATTCTCTTTACATTTGATATGGAAAGTATATCAGGTGTTGGCACATGACATAAGTAGCTCTTTGAATATATGGAGGTACTAGAGGCAAGTTGTTTGAATTCCAGTTTCAAAGAAAGATGCACTGCCTGGATTTGTGGGCACAATCATATGTTAAAATAAGTCACTCTCATGAGCATGTCTCATTATTACCGTTAAAGACATTTGATGGTCAGGTTTAAGATGTACATACAGATATGAGTCATGCTGAATTATAGTTGTTAGCAGTATTTTGTAATGCTTGCTATACTCCCATGTGGGTTTTTCCATGCTGAATGTGTATTGACACACAAACCAAGGCCAAAAGATTTTGTTGTACAGTTAAAAGCTGCTATCGTCAAAGGAGGAATGCAATGTAAAGAAAAATCTTTGAATTAAATACATTATAGGGAAAAATACTTTATAGTCTTGGGCTTTTTTCAAGTTGGGAAAAGGGAAACAGTTCTTGCAAAGAGAAATTGGTTAGAAAATCCAAGCTACAACACAAAGGCTACATAATTTGTAAGCATCACTACTGAAATAACATTTTTTGGAGGTGGGATTTAAAAGTATAAGGCAGACTCTTTGTAATTAGGAGTTTTCCTATATGTGTGATTGGTCTATGAGAAACCACAAGAAGTGCTTAAGAAGCAAGCCAGGCAATTGGGGCTCCCAACGTTAGCAAAAGAAAGGCAGCAAATTACCATCTCTTTTTGTGGAAGATGGAAGATGAACGGAGACGGGCTTTCAATGCAAAAACTGTTTGAAAGGGTTAATGGGATGGAAAGACAAGGCAGAAAGATGACTCTAGCAGCAGCCTTTTGCGTAACTTAAGGCATGAGAAATGGCTTGGGTTTGTCAGGTGCCTCCATTATGTTTTTGTTATGGTTTTCCACATTTTAGCTCCTCTCCTTTGCCAAAAAACTATCAGTACGTCTTTCTCTGGGTGGGAGAAGTGGCTTTCTTTCAGATCAGTGATTAATGGGTAGAGGGTGTCAGAAAATAGCTTGCATCCTGCCATGTGAATCATTCGTGCCTTTCCTTCCCTCCACCCCCCCATCCATAACATGTATAATTTCCACCGAATTCCCCGATCCCCTTATTACTCTTAAGTACATTTTTGTCTCACTGTGGTATGAAGCAGAACCTGATTCTATTCCCATCTCCCTTTTTATGAAAGGAACATAATACTTAATTGTCTTCCTAGGAGTGCGGTGGGGTGTAATAAGCAAATACATGGACAGTGGTCTAGACAAGGAAGTACTAAGTATTATTAGTTAAGACTTGACAACAGGGAACAATTGAGCAGGACAGCTACAGCAGAAAAAAATCTTCTCTTGCAGTATGTATCAGAATAACTCCCTGTTTATTCCAAGCAGAGAGTGTCCAAAGAGCCCACTCAGGGAATTATTCTGGGATACCTGTAGTAAAATAGTTTGCTCTGTGTGGGATGACCCTTTCTTTGTATACATTAAAAAAAAAAAAAACAACACTGGATAGCCATGAAATTATCAGGTGCCCAGTCTAGTGATGGCAAATGCATGGCTGTTTGAATCCAGGGATAAATGCGGGCTTTAAGGAAAGCCATTGTGTATACGTGTGTGAAAAGTCTTAATTTTGTACATGTAACCTCTAGAATATCTTGCATCTTGGGCAATAAATAATAGATATTTATAATAATTCTCTCCTGAATTAACTCAAAGCATCTAAGAAATGCAAAAATCTAGAACCCTTGGGTCAGAGATTATACATTTTATTAGACCAGCTAAGAAATCACAAAAAAATTATCTTTTTCTGCAAGCTTTCGGGCTCACCGGCCCTTCATCCGGCTCAAGGAAAATTTAAAGATGGTAAAAAGTCCTCATAGGTAGGAAATAAACTTCATTTTTGTACAGAGGAAGCTGAAGATGGACATCATCTTTAATTTTCCCTGAGCCAGATGAAGGGCGTGAGTGCCCAAAAGCTTGTCAAAAAAATTATTATTATTACAATTTTTTTTTTTGCAATTTCTTAGCTGGTCTAATAAAATGTATAATCTCTGACCCAAGAGTTCTAGATTTTTGCATTTCTTTTTGTCTCAGACCAACATAGCTACCAAATACATCCCTTAGAACATATAAACTTTCAAAAACTGAATGGTATAGTCACATTTGACACCTTCCCTATGCCCCACATCACAGAGCTAATAGAACAGATTGGGGAAGTGAAATTCATTACGACTCTTGACTTATCAAAAGTATTGGCAGATCCCAGTGCCCCCAAGGGATTGTGCTAAGAGACCATTCAGGACACTGTGGGGCTTTTACGAATTCCTGTGGATGCCCTTTGGACTTCATGGAGTAGCAGCCACACTCCAGCAATTAATGGGTACTGTTTTGGTACCTCACATAGCCTATGCTGCGGCTTATATAGACAACATAATAATTTTTACAAAGACGTGGTCTCAACATCTGAAAGCAGTAACACAGCCGTTCTGAAGGAGTTAAGAGCGATTGGGATAACAGCCAACCCTAAGAACTTGCCCTCCTGCTAGCTGACACCAAGCCAGACATAGTGGGGCTCACAGAAACATGGTGGGACCCAACACACGACTGGGCAGTGAATATCAAGGGCTATAGGCTATATAGAAGGGACAGGACAGGGAGGAAAGGTTGGGGAGTGGCGCTGTACATCAAGGAGGAATACACATCCTCATCTTTGTACATCTCCCAGAGCCCTGCTTCTCTTCCCACAGCTCCTGATCTTGGTTCTCCAACTCGCTGCCAGGGTTTTGACCTCCACTCCACAAGTTGTGTCCTGAGTAGGCAATGAACAGGGGAGCCATGAATTACATTTTTTTTTTTTTAATGGAATGCTATTTTGCAATCCAGGGGTGCTGAACACCTAGAGTAAAATTTTAGCTTTATAAGATCAGATGAAACTGATAAAGCATTAAGAGGTGACTAGAGTGCTTTGATGTCTTGATCCAAGAAACTCTCACATAAAGATAGAAGATCTGTTATTTTCTTTCTTTTCCATGCATATAATGAAGATGAGTGCCATGAAAAGAAGTAAAGTCTGAAACCCAAAGTATCTAACTCAGGTTAGATACTAGCTACAGTTGATCTCTCCTTGAGTGCATTACATGACTTGAGTGCATTGCATGACTGAGAGTAGATTCAGGCTAGATATCAGGAGGTGCTACTTCACTGTCAGGGCAGCTAGGATCTGGAACCAACTTCCAAGGGAAGTCGTACTTGCCCCTACCCTCAGGGTCTTCTAGAGTAGGCTAGACAGACACCTAGCTGGGGTCATTTGACCCCAGCATCCTTTCCTGCCCATGGCAGGGGGTTGGACTAGATGATCTGCTTAGGTCCCTTCTGACCCTACCAGCTATGAAGCTATGAAACCAGAAACATTAATAACAGATCTCTGTAAATAATTCTTAAAATTCTTGACTTCCAAATATGTCACTTAAATGAGTGCACATGATACACAGGTTCATTCAGGGTTTTGTTTGTTTGAATGTGGCAGTCTTCAGGAAGAATTGCCTTCTGATTGGGACACACAATGGAAGGGAGGGGCATCACCATTGAAGACTATACCTTGTTTGCTCAGGGCTGCAGAGGGGCGGTCAGGAAGGCAAAGGCGGAGATGGAAGTGGGACTAGCGACCCAGATCAAGGACAACAAGAGGTCCTTTTTTAAATACATAAGGGGGCAAAAAGAAGGTACCCAGTAATGTGGGGCTTTTGCAAGACATGCTAGGAAATCTGATTGTCACATCAGACAACAAGGCTAACCTATTTAATGATTTCTTTGCCTCCATTTTCCTCAACAGGGACCAGATCAGCCCGTCCGCTGGGAACCCCTCAGGTCCTGGGGGAGGCACACCAGGCCTAGGGTCAGTGAGGCTCTAGTCAGGGAACTTCTGGAGGGGCTGGATGTATTTAAATCAGCTGGTCCTGATGACCTTCACCCCAGAGAGCTGAGGGAATTAGCAGAGGTCATTGCAGGACCCCTGGCATGGCTTTACGAGCACTTGTGGTGCTCTGGTGTGGTGCCAGAGGACTGGAAAAGGGCCAATGTGGTTTCCATTTTCAAAAAAGGGAGGAAGGAGGAACTGGGAAACTATAGACCTGTTCGTCTTACCTCGATCCTGGGTAAGCTTTTTGAGAGAATTATCCTGGCGCATGTTCAACATCTTCATCGGTGACATGAACAAGGGGGTAGAAAGCACCCTATTCAAATTTGCTGATGACACTAAGATGTGGGGGGATGTGGGCATGCTAGAAGGGAGGAATAGGCTGCAATTGGACCTAGACAGGTTACAGGGGTGGGCGGATGAGAACAGGATGGGTTTCAACACTGACAAGTGTAAGGTACTGCACCTGGGTAGGAAGAACCAGCAGCATACCTACAGGCTGGGGAACTCCCTTTTCGTCAGTGTAGAGGCAGAAAAGGATCTTGGAGTCATTATTGATGCCAAAATGAACGTGGGCTGACAGTGTGGGGACGCGGTCAGGAAGGCCAACTGCACCTTGTCATGCATCCACAGATGCATCTCAAGCAGGTCCAAGGAGGTGATCCTCCCCCTCTATGCGGCACTGGTCAGGCCATGGCCACTCACATGATCAGGGGTCAGCAGGGCAGGCCCTACGAGGAGAGGCTAAGGGACCTGAACCTGTTCAGCCTCCACAAGAGAAGGCTGAGGGGGAGATCTAGTGGCCTGTTACAAACTAGTGAGAGGGGACCAGCAGGCATTGGGGGAGTCCCTGTTCCCCCGATCACTACCAGGAGTGACTAGAAATCATGATCACAAGCTGGCA